GTTGGGCCAACGTCAAGGTGGGCAACGCAGGAGGGGCATGTCGATCCAGTACATGGGCAACGGAGGAAGGTGGCCAAAAATAAAAGCAAAAAAGTAAAAGGAGAAGGGAAGAGGGGGAGAAGGAATACATTTTAATTGAATACACGCTATACTTTGACCCAAAAGTGAAATGAGAGACTTGAAACTGTGGTGAGTGAAGAAGAACAGGAAGTGTGACCTGGACAAAGATAAGTATAAAAAAAACAGGCTGGAGAACTATAGAGATTTACGTCCCTGGAAAAAAAAGAAGACAAAAAAAAAAAAAAGACTATATCCACTCAGGCTTTCAGGCACCTGTTGTCACTTCAAGGTCAAACAAAGCTTCAGCACTGTGAGGGGAACTGGAATCAGGTTGAAACTCACAAGAGGACAAAATCCAACAGATCTGTCTAACAAGGCCTTCCTGGTCTGTCCACATGAGCCAACTTGGTTTTTATTGTGATCTTGGACTAACAGTGCATGTCAATTCTTGTATGTCAATGTATAAAGCTTGCTGGTGAGAGCTGTTTCTGTGGGAATCCAATGAATAAGGGGGTTTGAATTAATTGCAATTTAGGTTGGGGTCCTTTCAAGTTAACGTTTTCTCCCCAGCTGCAGAAATGTTAGCAGCGTTTTATCCGTTTACTCACGTCTGTGCGTAGGGCTTTTATGTTCTTGCCACCCTTTCCAATAACAGCACCGGCATTCTGTGGAGAAAAACAAGGTTTTCCTTAGAAAAGAAGAAACGAAAAAACAGCAGTGTGGTCCAATAACTAACGGTGTGTGAATTATACGTTACTTTGCTCTGAAGAAGCACACGCAGCTCCACCATCTCGTCTGCGTTGCGAGAACGTTTGAAGGCCTGCTCCTCGTCCATGTCCTCCGCTGGCCGTTTACCTGAGAGGGAAGACAGTCCGGGTCAACTCTGAGCCGGGCAGCCGTTCTCTACAAGGTATTCATGGGTTATAACGGACGTCCTGGGTAATAACTTTAACGTCACTCAGTAGAATCTGACAATTTCTGACTTTGGCTATGTATGTAGTATGGCAGTATAAGCCCGCCCCTTCACAATGTTTAATTCCTCAAACTTTTCCAGGTTTAAAAAATATTACTATAATATTCTATTATCACATAAAAATGCTACACATGGTATAAAACTACTGATCGAATATTTAGAAGAAGAAAAAAACGTCAAGGGGAACCAAATTATAATTATTAGTCACACAAAGTGACAAAAATATAAATACATGGCGAGTGCTAGGTCTACAGTATGTTCCACCCCAAGAATTGGTTTCATTCAGCAGCCAACTGTATCCTGGAATTTGTCCAGCACCACCATGTACCCTTCCTGGATTAAAACATGGGCAGATCTGCTCAGGGCCCACAGAACAGTAGTATCTTGGACAGGAGAATCCCTCAACCATCTGACATGTCCACATGCTATGTAGTGCCAGCCAGAAATGTTCATTTTTTTTAATTTTTTTTTTCCTTTTTCCTCCCTTGAGTGAACTAATTACCCAGCAAATCTACACGCTAGATTTTCAAGCTGGATGTAACAGTTCACAGGCTCAGTTCATTTTCTACTTAATGCTCCAGTTCATTCATGTGGTTTAAATTACGGTCATGAATGGGCTTTATCAGAATGAAGTTATGTGTGTATGATCTTACCATTAGTGTCAGTGTTGCTGAAAGTGTTGTCTTCGTCCTGCTCTTCGATTTTCACCTCCATTGTCTTGCACCTGCACTGGAATGCAAACAGGCTCCTCTCCCTGGATCTGCTAGGGGAAAAAAAAGCGGGTGGCAATAATACAATCAGCCTGGCAACACACGACACACACAAACATCTAATCAGATATCCTAAATTAGTCTGCGACTAACAATATATTTTTTTAATATCAGTTAATCTGCTGATTTTTTGAGCTATAACACATCCAATATGTCTATCACGTTTCCATAGCCTGACGTGACATCTTCAAATGACTTGTTTAGTCTGAAACCCAAAGATATTCACTTAACTACCACATAAAATGAGGAAAAGCAGATATTTTTTTTGACAATTTCGCATGACAAACGTCTGTGAAACAACTAATCGATTATCAAACTGGTTGCAGATTATTTTCTACTACTTGATTTATAATTGCAGCTCTAATTGTAACAGCTGCCAAGTCGGGCTAATAAAGACAAACCCTACGAAATCACAAGTCAAATGAATGAATACGGGTCGAAGAAAACATCCAATCGCCATGTGATATTGTATCAATCCTCAAAAACACTGTATTGATATTTTTGTGTTTAAACCCCTAACGCGGTAGAAAGCCATGTTGTAAACTCCCCGCGAGCGGCGTGTACGTGTTCGGACATGTCTAACCAGGAGACCTTCGTGCCCACGTCACAAATATACGACGACATCGATAAAGAGGAAAGAGGGGGAAGAGAGAGAGAGAGACGGGAGAAGAGGAGATGAAAGAGAGAGACGAGCAGAGCAGAGGAGAGAGAGAGAGAGAGAGGGGCCTACATGCAGGAAAGAGCTACAGGTTGAATCAAACTTGGGCTGCGGGGGTAAGGACTTCAGACAGGCTGTGCCAGGTGAACAACCCCACAATAAACTTTATTTACCCAGATGTTATGCACAGATTTAAAAAAAATAATAATAATAATTGTAATATAGTGACTCCATTCTTGCCAATACACTGCCCCAGAGTTGAACACTATAAATACAGTCTCATGGGTCCCTTCGTATAACTACCCTGCAGGAGATTTAGTGTCCACAGAAACACACAGCAGTCGTACACAGTCCACCTACATGCACTGCCCACTGCTGCTAGTTGAACACTGTACAAAGGCAGATGGGACTTTTCAGAGAGCACCTCTTCTCTCTTGTGCTGAGGCCTTGCTACGTTACAGGGAGATGCTGCTCGACGCCTACATACATTTAGGAATTAGCAGCACCCATTTTAAGTACCGTGGGGTTTTCTCTCAGGAGCACCCTCACCCTCCCTCCCCACCTCACCCCTAATGCATGACAGCTTCTCCAGAAAATACACATATGCATTGGTGTTTCTTTATTTTTTTTATATATATGTAGTGCCATCCGGGAACAAATTAGCCATTTGTGGATCACTCACACAAAAAATGCAACTATATCTAAAACAGCTACAGGAAACTGCGCAGTTTCCTACACTTAGAAAGAAGGTTTGTCACCTGAAACAGAAGTTAACTAACATTTTCTTCGCGGTGCAGCTAAGTTGACAAGACTCCGCTAAGCTAACAGCTCTAAGCTAAGCTAGTTAGCTCTCTCTCTCTCTCTCTCTCTCTCTTTCTTTCTGTGTGTGTGTGTGTGTGTGTGTGTGTGTTTTGCGAGGCGTGTCTACCAGTCCACAGTGTACACGTTGCGACTGCACAACATTTCCAACAGCGAGAATAACATGAGCACAGCAGCAAAACAAATCCAGCTACCCCCCCTTTTTTTTTTTTTTTTTTTAAACGATATGTCAGCGCTGGAAAATCTAATTATACGAACCATTAGTCGACAAACGGGTCAACTGACACCGCGTTCAAACAAACACACCACATTTAAACGGTTTAGGGAATCAAACCTGCAGCAAAACCACGTTCACTGCGGTCGTCCGCGGTTTTCCTCTCGCCCAGGAGCGCTTGCACGTTTTCAGCATGGAGAGAAGACGCCACTGTGGGGATGAGCTCGATTCGTCGACGCTCACCCGGTTGGTTGCTGCTTACGCTTGTCAAAGTCAGTGCGAGCGGGCGGAGCTAAGACACGCTTGAATAAAAAAAAAACTACCCGTACCCGTGTGGCCTCGCAGAACAATTTATCAAACTCTCCCTGAGTAGTTAAGGGAGGTTTTGGTGTCCAGAGTTGAGGCTCGCAGGCGGCTGCAACCGCTCATATGTGTCTGCAACCCCGCCCCCGCCAGACACTCCCATCAACAGCCACTGTCTGACCTGCTGAGTGAGGGTTTTATTGTCCTGGATTTGACTGTCAGGTTAGTTTAAAGACATATTTATTGCACTGGTTCCCACCTTTTTTTAATTTTTTTTTTATAAATCATCTTAGTTAATTGAAGACCCCTGAAGCTGACACATATATTATATTATATTTAAAACTGTTTAATAAACTGAAATAGTGAACTCAGTAACGGCAAGGAGTCTGTGTAAAAGGAGTGATTTGGATGCATTTTGCGCAGATTATTTCCTGTTTAGAAAATGTTTAATACAATTATCTGTCTGTATTATACACACACACACACACACACACACACATATATATATATTTAACAGTCATACAGACTTAAATGGCTTATTTTTTGACAAATTCAGGGTTTTCTTATCCATGACGCTTGGCCATTCTTCTATTATACAATTTAACAATTTATTTTACATTTCTTTATTTTAAACCAAATGCTGACATAGAGAACTCCTGTGTATATTTTTGAAGTTTTCTTACACTCATTAAAAATCAAGAAGGCTTCGCAACCACCCCATGAAGCTTTGGTGACCCCTAGTAGGTGTCCCGACCCCCAGATTGGGAACCACTGATTTATAGGGTGTGTTTGTTCACACAGTTCAATACTACTTATTATTGTAGTCCATTGAAACTGGAAGAGGTGACAAAAATAAATATATGTAAAGATATCAGTGTGTTACTTGGATTACATTTTTAAAGTAACCCTTCTGACCCTCATGTTAACTTTGATTGATTTTTTTAAACTTATGTTTGATAATCCTTATTTTTGGACTGTTTCATCCACTGAGACACTTCTAGACTTGTTGTTATAGTCCTAAGCTTATTATCTTGTAGAAGTCCAAAATATTAATCAAAAAATCCAATTAAAATTATGGGCCAACCAATCAACAGAGAATTAATCAATTCAAATATTTTTGTAATTTAAGTGATTTTTAGAGCAAAAACTCAGCTATTTTCTGCTTCTAGTTTGCCCAGTGAGAAGATTTGCACTTTAAACTGGATATATTTGGGTTTTGGACTGCTGGTCTGAAAACAAGACTTTTGAAGACATTTCTTAAACTAAAAGCCGATTAAAGTTGACAATGACATACTCACAATGGTAGTAGAACCACAAGGAGCTTTCGTTCTACTATGAGACAAATAGGTCCACTTGTGCTCTGTAGGTGCTGGTCCACACCAGCACCATCTTTGGTGCTCAGGAGTGGATAACAGTGACACATTTATCAAAACAACATGGTCCCTCCTTTGGACCAGTACTCAGCAGACCGATGGTAGACTATCCATGTATCATGTATGACATTTCAAGTACAAGCTCATGATGTATAAACCCCTAGTGCAGGATATACAGACATAAAAGATCATGTATGAATGAACTAAGGACAAATGTTGGCAGATTTGTCGGAGGGTAGCAGATGTAGGACCCCTCGTGTATGCTGCTGAGGTTGTTATAATAGACACAAATTGATGACATAAAAATGAGACAATATGGAATATATTCACCTGTCTTGCCTGCCATGCATAACATAATTATACAGTACAGTTAAGGTCATTGTGTCTGGAGAAATCAGGTGTGATAAAGGTATTTATTTTATTCACAGAGAAGGAACTGAAGAATGTAATTGAGGTGTGGATTCTTAACAAACAAAAAAAAAAAGAACATGCACTTCAACAAAAGTAAGTTGAAATTGATTTTTTAACTCATCTTTTTGGAGCACATGGGAGACAGTGAGCTGCCAGGTCAAGACAGCCTTGTTGTAAGTAACTAAACATGAAACTCTGGATGATGAAAACCTTTTAACAGTCATGTGTGAAGTCGAAACCGTATAGCAAATCCATAAATCTTAAATCTTAACCACCAAGTTTATTTCATCCTCACAAAATTGCTGCTAGATGTTGATAAAAGCAAGTTTAACCTTGTTTTTGTCTTGATGGGTCAAAGAATATTGTGTTGATTTCGCAACCAAAACATGAATCATGAATCCTAAGTGAGGGTGTGATATCGTAATAAAAATGAGTTGTGTCTGAAACAGAACTATTGTTTGTATTCACTCAGGTGAGAGTGTAACGGCGTGCACAGTGGTGGCAATCCATAGACCGAGAGACATTGGATAGTACAGGATGTAGATCAGTGGGCTGAGTCACGGCTGCATCTCTGCACACAAGGTTCAAGACAAGTCTGCCACCAGCTGGTTCAGGAAGAGGTAGGAGCAGAGATGGAGGAGTTGAAGAGTTGGATGATAGAGGAGTGGCCCCAAACTGAATGTACAAGAGCAGGAGGATCTCTTGGAAGAGCATCATCTAGGTTTCAAGCTATAGAACATTTAAAAAGATGAATTATAAAAATCAGAATGTATGCTTTGAATTTACAAAGACAGCACAATATATCGAGGGCTTTGGATTGGATTACTTGAAGTTGAACATTTTCAACAATAAAAACATACTAACATCTGTATGCACGAACACACACATGCATCTGCTTTTCTCAGTGCAACTAGATTAACTTTTCTGCATTGCAAAAAATGAAACGACTAATCTGACATCAGCAGCTAGAGTCACCACCTCACTGCCCATTTATTGCAAATTAGGAGCCTGAATTATGTCCATACTTGATCTATTTTAAACATCCCCTTTTCTCGTAGTGTTGTCATGCTCCTTCAGATATAGGCAAGGATCTATTGCAAAATAAAGAGCTCTCTTCCCTCTCCTATACTCTGAGGTTACCATGGAGACAGATATAATTCAGTTCTTGATGTTTCTCATAAAAAAAAGCCTGCGTACATATTTTCATCTGCAACCATAGCGACACTTGACATTGTCAGCGCTATTTGTAAAAAGCAAGTCACCATAGCGACACTAACCATCCAGGCTGTGTCATAGATCATGTGTCCTAGCTGAGTATGCCTCCACATTATGAAGTGAAATTTAGGAATCTGCTGGTAAACAAGATTTATTTGATCATTTTGAAGCATATTATCACCTTGATGTTTAGCACCACACAGTAACTCTCAAAAGGAATGAAAAAATGAAGGATTTATTTGACATTCAATTTGCTCAGTTTGGGGCATCTGTTGCAATTAATGTCTAAATTATGAATGTGTTATTAATATATATATATGTATATACTGGTGAGTGGACACTAACATCTGGGCAGCACTTGCAGGTCAGCTCCTACATATTTTTTATTATTTAATAAGTCAGGGTTTCTTAAACTTAGAATGAAAAAGGTGCTACAATTCAAACCTTAACAAAAAATACAATTATTTCTGACAAAAAAAAAAGAAAGATCGCACATTTTCCCCAGTTTTTGCTCCTGTATCGTGCACTGATCAGTGATTGGAGTGAGACCCATTTGAAGCTTGCAGACATAGTATAGGTAATTATTTTTCATAGATGTACCCCGTCTTGTGCGTCAACCGTACGTCACACTATAGGCCTAATGGCCAACCGTACAAGTGTGTGTGTGTGTGAGAGAG